CTAGGCAAAACATTCCAAAAAAACAAACAAGTAAAAAGCCATGTGCAAATCCATTTACAGCAGAATAACATAAATCTGTATAAAACACCTTAATTTCTTTAACTGAAACATGGCATATGCTTGCACAGCACAAACAGAAGTTTGACACTAAACCAATACTGCTGCTGAAGAAAAAAAACCAAATCTCTTCCTATAGATATTATGTTCAGGAATTTGCTGTTCACAGAAGAAAAAGGAAGGAATCCTGCAAGATCAGGATAATAGCACACATTTCAGAAAAAAAATCCCAATGGTGAATAGTGAGCCTTAAATTTGATACAGAAGAACTTGCAAAGATTGAAATTAGAAAATTGCTAGTGCCCACATGTACTGGAAGAAGCTGTGACATGGATCCTGAGTGTTACTACAGCCTGCCTGGCAAAACTTCAGGAAATGTGTGCCCCTGTACCAGAAACTGTTGCCCAGGTTCTGTAGAACATCCAGCTAGGGGACTCTTTATATCCCCACATACGATGCCAGCAATGTGTTAGAAATGGAGACTGCTTGGGGCTAGAAGGTAAACTTCAACACAGACAACCTGAGAGAATGTACTTAAGCTAAGAAAAAAAAAAAATAAAAAGAGGGAGATAACAGTGAAATGAGATTAGATTCAGCAGGACAGCTGTATGAGGAAAATGCAGCTTACTTGGTAAAACCTGAAATGTATGACCACTTTTTTTTTTTTTTGTACAGTACCTCACATACCGTTGTCAGCACCTTCAGACAAGACAGTACAAGGCAACAATACCTCAAGGGGAAGTAAAGGGGGTGGAAGAAGAAAAAAAGGGCAAATGCTCCAACTAGAGACAGGAAGACAGCATGAAAAGGTAATAAGGCATCATCAAGCAATCAAGACAGCTTGTTTCCTAAACCTGACCTCCAGTGGTGCGTACAGAGACTGAGAGAAGGTCCACCCTTAATCCAAACTGCCATGAACCTACTTGTGAACAGTGAAAAAACCCTACAATACATATTCAGGACTTCTCAAACAGATACAACATTGCACTTAAAGTAAATTATAAAGAAGTCACATTCAGCCAAAAGAACTTCTGTGCCTATAAAAGCTGACACGTTCCAGCTTTAGTTTTCTGAAAACAAAACCATTTTAAGTTAGATTGTACTCTGTACAGTGACATCTGTGTAGTCTTCCAGAACTTCTGAACTACTCAAAATTCTGTAACTCATTGGCTTGCATCTACAGTTTTCTCTTGATTTAACATATGCTTACCTTTCCATTAACTTAAGAAACTAAAGTCAACAGGCATGCAAGATTTCTGGGTGTTTTTTAAACATGATAAAAAGTATGATTTCAGGAAGGCAACATTATACACCATGTTCCAGGGCATGTATTCCTGTGCAAGAGATGCATTATATCTAGGTAACAGCATGTGAATATAGGCACTTGCTCATTTTGCTACTCTGAACCTTCAGCTTTGAGAACATCTTCAAAACTCTTTATTCTTTGGGAAGGTTTTTGAAATTTCTGGGGGAAAAGGAAACATGTTACACTAAGCAGGTCAAAATTAACATACTAGGCAAAGACACTGAAAAAGTATCTACTGTTTAAAGCCAACCCTTACGAAATAGTGTTGGGATTGAACAGCAAACCAGGAATTCAACTGGTGGTCCAGTCCCCCGCTTTTCACAACTCAACACAAATTACTGATCTCTCTAAAAATTTGCCTACAAGTCATGTTTTGTTGAGAAGCTTTTTTTTCTTTTACTAAAATACAGAACACAAATGAAAGTACAGTCTCTTAGAAAAATTACTTGAAAAGCACAAAAATCAAACACAAGTAATTTTTCATCAGAGCTTTTTTCTACCCCAAAATCACATTTTGGTGGCTGTTACAATATTTACATGGTGAAATGACTACAAGTGACTGTAGAACTTTATTTTCAAAACAAAAAAAAATTCAAATTGCACGTTTTACAGGGGGCATTTCAGTTTACAAAGAGCAAATGAACTTTTCAGAAATTCAATACATGAAATTATTATAGAGAACACTTAAATATGTGCAAGCTACAGTAACTGTGAACTGTAGGGTAAAGAAAGACAAGAAAACCGACTCCTTCTCAATCATAAATGACCCACTTTAATGTGCTAAAAGCTACAAAAGGAAAAGCAACTTTTTATGGTCCCAAAATATTTTTTTTTCCTTAGTAAATGGTTTTCACTTACCATGTATTATTGAAGCAGAGAAAAATTAGCTGGACAAAAGAGACAGGAAGGATAGCACACTCCCTACTCAATTAGCCAGCTTATTTTTTCTAGTACTTATTTATGCAATAAGGCTTTATTCAGTCTGAAAATTATTAACTGGCAGGGAAACAAAAATTATTACTGAATGCACATAGTGACAACAGTTAGCTTACAGACAAACACATCAGGGGAGGGAGAAGGGAAATTCTGCTTTTAAAACTTAACTCCATTTCAAATAAACTAAGCAAATTCAGTTAGGCAAAATAGCTTAAAAGTCTGCAAAGACTACTTGCAAAAAGCAGATCCTGCCAACCTCATCCAAGCATGACAAAATTTGCTCAAAGGTGCATGCTCATAGAGGCTGCTGAACAAATCAGAACTACTTCTCTCACTATATGATGCACTAATTAACATAATGGGTCTGATTTTATAAATTAGACTATAACATGCCTATCAAATGGATTATTTAGAAGAAAAATCTTTGCGATATTTTACTTGAGAACACTTTTAAATGTTTACTTGCATTTGTAATTTCCTCTGAGAAGCTGATTAACAGTGTTCTTTATGAACAATATATTTAACGCAGAATATTTTCGAAGTACCTAACTATCTACAATATATTTACTACATGCAGATTAACAACAATAATGCAGTGTTTGGCAGCGCAAAGTCACCTGCAGTGTTCTAAAGCACTCCACTGTAAAAATTCATTTAACAGGCTCTGAAGGTGACTAAAAATAAACTCAGCAAAATTCCACATCAAGCCTTTTTCAAAAAACCAAACCACACCATCAGTACTGTGAACAAACTGGTATTATACATGGAAAACTGTTGTAGAAAATGAAGTAGTAAGGTGATCAAAATCATAGCTATTGTCAAGAATTCTTCCTTCTGTAAAGGTACTCAAAGGTCTTAAGTGTTAAGAAATGACAAGAAAACTTATTCTGGTATTCTAAGGTCTAAAACTTGACCATTTCCTTGTGATCAGTTACATATATTACTGGATTTTGTAATCAAACTATAGTTTGATTTGTAATCAAACTATAGATTTACGAATGGTTTTACCTGCAAAGTGTTAAACAGAAAATCATGCGCTTTTTTTAAAAAAAAACCAAACAAACAACAAACTAAGGGCTACACATACAGATAGTGCTTTTTATAAATACTTAGAACTACATTCTGAACTATACAAAAATCATCCTGAAAATAAATCTAAATTGCAAACAGAAATTAAGTCACCAAACAAGAAGCCTCATTCACAGTATCATTTTATTTTTTTCATTTATAATTTGTTTCCCCAATAACAAAACAAATCTTATTTTCACACATTAGAACAGCTGTTAGCATGAACATTGGAACAAGAAGCTTTAGTATCAGATTTTAACCTTGCCATGCATTCCTCTTTTCTTTAAGTACTACTTTTTCTGAGCATTTTGATTTGACATTGAACATAGTCTTTCTCCTAAATGTGACTTTTGCTAACCAGCATTAATATACAGCTTCATTCAACCAACCACTGTTCTCATATGTATTCAGTCTTCTTTTAACACTTATGACAACATATTTACTGACACTTAAAATTTCATGAAGTTTTGTTCAAATAAAAATGGAAGCAAATGGAAATTTGCAAAACTTCAAATTTTATTAAAGAAAATTTAGTGTGCTTGAATTATCAAAATAAGATATAACAACAACATTTTGTCATTAAAGGCCTACAGTCAATTAGCAAAATGGTTTTAGTAACTAGACTCCCCGTGGTTTTTAGGCATGCAAAAGTGCAGAATGGTGCTTTTGGAAAGCCTGCCAAGCATTTCTGTAGGTTAGATAACTGACTGCTGCTGGGATATCACTAGAAATTGGCTGTCCACCATTGTTTTTGGTGGGTTGTTTTTTTTTAATTTTTTTTTTTGGTGTTTGGTGGTTGGGGTTTTTTTTGGTGCCTAATGTTCTTAAATAACTTCATCCATAGCTTTAGATTCTCTTTACAGATCTAACTTCACCCCCTTCAAATTGAATTAAGAGTTACTGGGTCCAATCTTCCACCATCTGTTTTTCAAATTGAAGCTCTCTACTTTTACAACTTTCAGTTCCTAAATTTCAGCTGAATGAATCGAGCTTGAACACCACCAAAAGTTCTCTGCTCCTCCAAACAAGACTAAAAACAAAAATTAAGGCAAAATATTTTCTCTGCAACAGAATCTGAAAACGTTTGATACTAGGTAAATAAATGTCAAGATTAGCTTCACTCTGAAGTCTATAGATGCAGCACCATGATTTTGTTCTGTTTATAAATCTGGCTTCCCTTTTGATTTTGCATTCATTTAGAAAACAGCACTCTCACTAAAAGGTGAGGAAGGCTCATGTATACAATATTTAAAATTTTAACAGAGTACAGCAAGTCTACATATAACACTGGCTGCCGTGATTCCAAATATCAAGATGTTTATTTTTAAAAAGGTATTGAAGTTCTAAATGAGTAAACCATCACTTAATAACAAAATTTATATCCACTGTAGAGAGATGCATTTTCAAGTAAAAGAATCCTATTCTAGAACCACTTACCAGAGAAACTGAGAATGAAACAGATTTCTTTTAAGGCAGAAGTTCAATTATATACGAGGTTAAAAGCCACCACAATATTAACTATCACTAACTCATTCAGCATTTAAAAATTTGCATTCATAACTATTAACTCCCATGCTGGCTAGAACTCTACTGATGTTCCAAGGAAGCCCATCTGGAGATATGATTATAAGACTAAAGCTACGCCAGCGTAAAATCAACCTACTCACTACTTTTCATTGTTAAACAAACTGCGCTTATTTATGTAAGTTATATAAACTATTTATAAAGAGGAAATATGAAATATTGACAATGACAACACAGATTTTAAAAAGCTATCATTGAAAAAGTTAGAATACATATTCAGAGGAATTTCAATGCTTAAAAACAGATTCACATATGTTCATCCAGTTAAGATTAGTGTATTAAAAAAAGTTAAGAAAATACTTTGTGTTTTAGTTCGACTGCACTTGATTCAAGTACAGCTTGGGGGTTGGCTGATATAAATTAAACATGGTCACTGCCTCAGCAGCTAGAAGTACAGAAAAATGTACATGTTGACAGGATAAATAGAAGTCTCTTCTTTTGGAGTAGGGGGGGGGGGAAGCTATCTCACTCCAATACGGGAGGTCATCCACTCCAAGCCTTGACATAATCTGAAAGAAAAGAGATGTTGCATTGGTACGAGTTCTATTCCAACATCTTTACAGTTTTTTCTACTTCTTTCTATGTTTAAAAAACATCTACTTAAAATAAATTCAGCTGGAATTGGGATTGAAACTTGAACAGAGTAAATAGTGTTTTAAACTAAGTCTACTTAGACTTTAACCACAAGATGATGGTCAAACACGCTATTTCACTGAAGCTTGGCACTCCTTCAATTTTTTTCCTTGTAAATCTAAACCACACCATTCTTAACATGCTTACTCATAAGTACACAGAAACAAATAACTTCTTTTTCTACAGCTTTCCCATGAAAGACTGTTTACTTGAAAGCTAGACCTTTATATACTAATACTAAAAAACAAAGGACGGGTTACCCAAACTGAATTGGTTGATGAGAAGGCAGTGTATCAAGAATTCCAAAATCCCATTACAAAATTAAAAATATGTACATACTGAACACCAAGATTGCAGGGGATCTAATCTGCTCACTCACTCAATTTGCAACTACTTAGAAGTCTTCCATTTCAGAAGACAGGCTTTCCTTTGATTTTCTAGGAATGCAGTTACCTAGCTTACACCATCTTTAAGCTTCATCTCTGCAAAGTAAATCATGACTTAGGTATCCAAGAGGACTAGCTTTATTCACATGGTGCTAATCTCCCTAGGATTCTGTCAGATCTTCCCAAGGAAGATTCAGCTCAGCAACCTAACTCTGGTTAATCTTTAAGAGTTGGTCTCACTACTGTCACAGTTCTAAGTATTCTAATTACTTGTCTTCTTTTTTTTTTTTTAAATAAGAAAGAGGCAGCCTGGGATGGCTAATGTTTCTAAACCAAAGTTTATATTCATTAATTTCTACCTTCCTCCAAATGCCAACTTGTTTGAAGATCTAAGTTTGTACATAAACTGAATACTCAAAATTGACTTTGACAAAACTGGTAGGAGGAAAGCAGAGTTAACAATATAATCCAAAGACTCAATCAAATAACCAGTTTGATCTCACTAACACATCCCACCCTAAGGAAGTGAATGCTACCAATCACTCTACAAGACATCTCCATTACATTAGAAAATACTTCATGCTATAAGTGAGGAAGATGCTCTCACTTCCCAAATACTCAGTTGGATTCACTATTTTTGATGTCACAAGACCACATTATTGTAAAAGTTGTACAACCCAACTGAAAAAACCCTCTACTACACGTTAGAAGAATGCTTTAAGAATCAAGATGAAAAATTAGCACACAGCTAACCATGTAAGCAAGATACTATGCAACTTGTTACAGGCATACAAAAAATGTTTTTTGATCTTTATAGACAAAGGATCTAGGGAAAGCACAGCTTTTCATTTTAGTAATTGCTGGCATAAGGTAAACAAATTTCTAAATTAGCTACATCAGCCAGATACAAACAAAAGGTTTAATATTGATAATGATTTTGTTTTATGCCAGATCATGTACCTTTTCATCAAAACTATGTTTGAATGCTTATAAAAAAAACCCAACCAATCAACAAGAACCCAGAACCACCCCAACTACCCCCAATCTTGGAAGCTTACGGTAGACCACAATGCAAAGGAAGAAGACAGTAGCTTATTTCCTTCACTGCACAAAGACACACAGAGTGAGAGGGGCAGTGAACACAGAGTAAACAATTATGCCAACAGCTACATTTCTGAGGTGAGGTGGTGGTGGTTGCGTTTTTGGTTTGTTTTGAAAGACTTTCATGAAAAATTGGAGTTTGAGCTATGAAAAAAATCTACCAGGTTCAATAAAGGAAAAATTAAAAATGTCCCTGTGACTGTAAAGATCAGAAAACATGCTCTTTCAGAAAATGCACACTGGTGTCAACAGGCTTCTAAATCAGTATTCTGATTTACCATGTACTACTATACTAAGCAGTAAGCATTTACCCTTCTCCTGTCAAAGCACAACAGGACTGAATGTGCCATGGGTGATCCTTTATGGAGCTGAGGGTGAGGTATGTAGAGATCTCGGCAGCTGTCATGCAACCTTTCATGTCCTGCTTGTTTGCAAAGATCAGAACTGCAGCCTTCCGTAAATCCTAGAAGTAATTTAGAGTATTCATAACAGTTATTGTAAAGAACTAAAAGACTATTTGTGTTACCTGAATTTCTTCTTGTATTCAATCTAATCTACAAGTACATAGCAGCATGGCGTTTTAACAGACTTAGTGGATTAAAAATCTACTACATTAAAAGCAAAGAAACCAATTTATTTGGAAGTGTTCTCCACCACAGAGAATCAAATTATAATGTCTTATACGGCTGTCCTTTTGGTGTTGACCACATGTTCATAAGTTAACTATGAAAGTCTTGTTAAAATATATTTCATAAAGCTCCAAACCATCAAGCCGGCAGAATTATTACTGGATAAATATTCTAAAGTCTACCTTAGATACTATTCAAACGTAAAAGCCAGCTAGATATCATTCCCTTGAAATTACTTTCAACTTCACTAAACAAGTTCTGCAGTGATTAAAGCTGTAACAATTTAAGAAAGCTATCTAAATTCTTGGAAGTCTTATCCTACTGTTCCGAACAGGGAGCTCTAATAATGCTGCAGTAGCTTTAGTAAAATCAGAAACTAATAAAAAGTTGTTTCTCTATGGAAACTAGGATTCCACAAAGCAATGAGACAAGAACTGGGATGTATAGTTTTAGGAGTGCAGAAAGGTAAACAAATGCAATACTCAGGAAGCTGACAGTTGTAATTAAGAGTGTTCAACACATTTCAGTGTTTATTAAATTGAGACTTTTCTCCATCAAGAGAAAAGCTGAAAAATCACTTCTACAAGTAATCTAGTCTAGGGCTACCAACTGTTTTCAAGAGATGGTAGATCAGAATCTCAGAAAAGTTTATAAATCTGGAAAGCAATAAAACACATGGAAAACCTTCACCACAAAAAGTCATCTTTCCACCTTTATTGGTAGTGTATTTGCTCCTTACTACCAGACCCAAACTACATTAACTGTAAAGTAAAAACTGACTCATTTGCAACAATTCAAATCTCTCAGAGAAATTAGCTCAACAGAATTACTTGCATTGTAGTAAATCCTTTTCCTTCAAAAATGAAGGAAGATATTTAGATTTTAAAAAACCCTAATTTAGCTTGAGAGCGACCACAGAATCACAGAATGGTAGGAGTTGGAAGGGACCTCTGGGGATCATCTAGTTCAACCCCCCTGCCAAAGTAGGGTCACCTACAGCAGGTTGCACAGGACCTCGTCCAGGTGTGTTTTGAATATCTCCAGAGAAGAAGATAAAAATAAAAATTAAAAAAAATCTCTTGAAATTTTAACCATTTAACTGAAAGAAGAGGGATAGTGGTAAAGAACAATAATATCCAGTTATATTAATATGAAGTTAAAGTAAAAAGTGATTTGATTACAATCAAGCAAGCCCTATTAGAAGAGTGCTTCATAATAATTTTCCTGTTCCAATTCACATGGTTTTAAAATTTTAAAATTTACGTGATTTAAAACGTGACCAACATGTATGCACATTTAGGCTCAGAAATTTCTTTGTGACAGTATAATTTTTATTAACACAGGAAGCATGTAATGTTATTTCACTGTTCACAACAAAAGAACTTCCCACCATACCTCATGAGCCAGCATTCTATAAAGTTCTTCTTTTGTTATAGAAAGTCGCTCTCTATCAATGCTGTCAACAACAAGAATGATGAACTAGGGGAAAAAACAATAGTATAGTATGTAAGTACAAAGTATAAATTACAGAAAGCACGTTTTCAAGAGACCACTACCACAAGTCTTCCTATAGAAGAGAGACATAGACTTTCAGAGCACACTAGAAAATAGAAGAAGAGGTTTATTGTTACAGCCTTTTGCTAAAGCCCTGGGAATCATACATGAATATTACAGTTAAAATTAAGAAAGATTATGCTTGTACATTTCAGCACCGTTACTTTTATGTGCTACACTTCAATCTCCCTGGTGACTTTCAGGCCCTACATCACAAGCAAAATAGTTATGTAGGTACCAAAAGCACCTACACATGGCAGATTACATTTAAAATGTGGACAACAAACTTGCTACACAGTTATTGCCGAAAGCAGCTACTACTGTCCACTACTACTTGCACACCCAGAAAACTATAAAACTGAAATTGAAAATCCCTATTTTGAAAGTAGCATTTTTAGCAATTCAGCATCACCTTACTTACAAGGCTTAAGAAATGTTATTTCAAAGTAGCACATCAGACCTCAGAAAGCTATATACCTGTAGAACTTATGTCGTTGCACAGCACCCTAACCTTTGTAACGCATAGGGCCTGTGCAGTTGGCTTCTCACAACTTGGCACCCTTCCACCTAGGCACTTGGAGACGGCTGTTACAGTGATTTTGCCCTTACTGTTCCTGCCAGGTACATTATTCTCATGGCTGTGCACTTTGAATCCTGAGACACTGCTAGGTCTGGTACGTCAGGTCTCCCAAGGGAAGTGATTGTCATTGGTATGAAAATTACCCTACTCTTTCTGTTCCTTCTTTTGTACCTTCTATTTTACAGCCTTACACTAGAGAAGAAAAAGACATGGTCTTACGTAGTAGGTAATACTCAAGTAAAAGCTTGTAAGCATTACTCAATAGTATGAGTACACAAACCATAACAACTAATCCATGTTCAACACTTGCCCTGCCCAGAGTGTGCTCCAAGCAGCACTAACAGCATCATAGGTGGGAACAACCAGCAGGGAGATCAAGCATGTTCTGTTGAAAACTATACATATACTATTAAAAAAAAAAATAATAATTTCAGGGAACACATGCCGCACTGGAGAGCAAACCAAGGAGATGCCATTCATGTAAGAGACTCCATCACTTCTCTGCCCAAATGGTAATACTTTTCCATCCCTTTTCTCTTTTACTGTAACTCTCCTTGCTTGACCCCACCCTCGATAGCTTAACCATGAGAGCTCCCTCCCCTTTCCTCTCCTCCCAGATCTTGTGCCTGGAAGCCTGTCCCAACATCCTTTCTGCAAGAATACGATCCAACTCTTAAAACAGAATTGCAGAATTAGCCATATTAAATGCACTGAAAAGCTTATTTGTGGGATTTTTACATTACTCCAAAGATTTTGTTTAGATTGCTTCAATTTACAAATAAGGAAAGAGAGAAAAGAGATAGTAAGAAAAAAGGAGGATTAGAAATTACCACTATAACTCTACAACATATGCTTGAAATCACTTTGCCTTATAAAATTAGGAGGATTCATTACCCATTGAAAATGACCACATAGTATGAAAAACTAAGTCAATTTAATGCTGCTGTGACTTTGAGATGTCTAGCAGACGAGGAGGAACAGTACAGGAATTATTCATATCAGGGAGGCTAGGATTAGCATAGTAAACAGACCCCTTTTCTTGCTCAACTCTTTACAGCAGACAAAGCTTCTAAATAAAGGGAAAGTTCTTCTCTCCAAGTGCTAGAAAGCACTGGATTTCAAACACTTACTAGCAAGAACATCCTAAAAGGATCAAAAAAAGAACTAATACATGACGGTTGGACTTCAGGATCTCAGAGGCCTTTTCCAGCCTTAATGAGTCTATGATCTCCCCAAATATCAAAATCAAACATTCTCAATGGACAAATGTCAAGAACTTCTTGTTATTGCACCAGACAATGCTGGCAGAAGTCTCCACCCTCATGTGCATGTGTCTTAGATGTAGCCATACTTTTTCTAGATAAAATTAAGTTTCAAATATTAGAGATGAAGGTTGAGATGTCATCACCAGGCTTTCAGTAGATAAAAAGTTTCTGAACATCAGGGGTGGATCTAATCTCCCCTCTCTCAAAGGGGGGCACAATATCTACAAGAGATCTCGGCTTTCAGTAGAAATGGTAAGAAATTAAGTCTACAATCTTTTACATCAATGCAGAAATCTGAAAGCGAGGCTACAGAGATTTTATGTGCATGTTGCGTTGATAACCCTTTGGTGTCAAAAAGACTGGCATAAAAAAAAACCTCCAAAAGACAACCGTTGCAGAGTTCTACTCCAACCTTTCCAGCAATGGCAGATTTACCAATACCTTACAAGTACTGCACAGCTAGACTTTCCTTTATCCTTTGGATAAAAGCCACAAGCTGATGAGCTTTTTAAATACTGCCGCCTACAGAAAGTTTAATTCCTCATCCTTAATTATCGTTACCTCAAAAACATTTCAGACTAAGTGTACATAATTTAGGTTAATCACTGCAAATCCTCACCGAATTCGCAAAGTACATTGAAAAATTTTCTTTTTAATCTACTTCAAAAAACATGCAGAAAACCTGTTTGATCTGAAATGTATTTTGATATCGTTTGATTGTCTAGGAAAAGAAGTCTAACTTCACAGTTTATACCAGAGATCACCCAACATTACTGTAAAGTATAGAGGGAAAATACTTCAAATGTTACCAGAAAATTGGCTGCATACCAGAGACATCAAACACTCTCGGGGTTTGGTCTTCCTCCAAAAGACTTAAAAACAGTACAGCTGCAATCTTTATAAAAATCTACCAATTTTCTTAATAAAGAAATATAATTTCAAACAAACTTATTGAATTTGCAGACTTCAAAGCAGCTTCTCATACCTCTGTGTTTGAATAATAGGTATTCCACGATGACCGTAATGATTCTTGTCCTCCAATATCCCACATTAAGAAATGAGTGTTTTTCACCACTATTTCTTCTACATTGCTTCCTATGGTTGGAGAAGTATGAACCACTTCATTCATTAAGCTAAAGGAGACAATATCACACCATAAAGACCAGCCAGTAAAATCCACAAGGCTTCTCACAGCTCAATTACAAACAATTACATATTTCAGAAAGCTATACATTTGAATTTTTATAGAAATAAAGCAAATATTTAAGACCAGTTCTTCAGTAAAAAAATTAGTTAATTTGAATGTGGACTAAAATCTGGTTGAGGAAGTTCTAGTGTGCTTTTGTAGCAGAAACTGTGGACATACTTAAAGACATCAGCAACAAAAAATAAGCACATAAAAGGCTCAGAATGAATGGATAGGCATCTACATTTTAAGAGGCTTCTCTTTTTAAAAGACACTTTTTAACAGACACATATATTACACTTGTTTCAAAGTAGAAGCTGCTATTCTAAAGTTCCCAAACATGAGAAACACTAAACTGCGCAAAATATAAATCAGAATATAATTTTATCAGAGCACTCAACTTAGTGATTCAATATTAAAACAAATTAGAAAAGACTGTTTGCTTACGTAGCTGAAAATTTCTCAGTTCTACCTTTCAGCTTTGTCAAAAGTGCTGAGGAAAAAGTTTCTTTGGAAAACATCCTCTGCTGCCTTCGTATCCAGATATATGCATAGTCATTTCACTATGCCTTCCTCCTTTTCCACAATTATATGCTTACAAATATCTGAAGGGTGGGTGTCAGGAGGATGGGGCCAAGCTCTTTTCAGTAGTGCCCAGCGACAGGACAAGGGGCAATGGGCACAAACTGAAGCACAGGAAGTTCCGTCTGAACATGAGGAAGAACTTCTTCCCTCTGAGGGTGACGGAGCACTGGAACAGGCTGCCCAGGGAGGTGGTGGAGTCTCCTTCTCTGGAGATATTCAAGACACGCCTGGACAAGGTCCTCTGCGGCCTGCTGTAGGTGACCCTAAAAAAAACAGCAGGAGGGTTGGACTAGATGACCCACAGAGGTCCCTTCCAACCCCTAAGATTCTGTGTGATTCTGTGATTCTGTAATTACAAGAGTAATTATGTTCTTGCCAATATTCTTGAATTTATCACAGATATTCTCTAGAGTTTCCATTAATTTAAAAATCACTTTCTTCTCTGCAGTTCTCTGTGACAGGATTATTTCTATGTCTACAAATAAAGATAGGCTTTGATGGCAAAAGATTTTGTAGTTCACTTTGTGCTTGTATGTACAATTTTATTATTCAATTTACAGTTCATTTTTAAAACACTTCTGTTCCTTCACTTACCATTTAAATATCGGCTCTGTTTAGAACAACTAATACCTTTAGTGTACAAACTGTGATCTAGAATTCTAGAGATTCCACCAGGTTGTAAAGCTGAATTTTCAATAATTAATCAGTGACAGATAGTAAAATGTAAATAGAAAAACAGAATAGTTCATATACTTACAACTGGTAAAGAATAGTAGTCTTTCCAGCATTATCAAGTCCCACTATGATTACTTTGTGCTCTGCATATACAAAAAAAAAGAAAACAGTAAGCAAAACTTTTAATTCTGGTTAATCACTTATCCTTACTGCAGAAAGCAACTGCTTGTTTGTCTTACTTCAATAGCCTACACAGAATACTGGTGACTTCAGGACAGCAGAAAAAAAAAAAAAAATCCACAAAGTCTCATCTTGTCTTGAGACTACAGTTTCGGGAAAAGTCAGTACTGGAAGTCTTCATAAAGGAACGGTTTCTAATATGATTGCTTCGTTTAAAAAAAAAAAATCTAGTTTTATAAAGAAAAGTACAACAAAAACATAGAACTCACAGCAGTGTATTATCTATCACCAAACATCCAAAGACTGCACAAAATACTAGCCCAGCATTCAAGGCTCAATAATAACCACCTTGTTAAAGGGACCACCACCATCTGCATAGTAAAATCTAGGAGGAAGCTGTATTTTGAATAGATCACAAATTCCAACATTTCAATTTCTGAACTGAAAAGTCACAGAATGGCAGAATGGTCGAGGCTGGAAGACACTTCTGGAGGTCGTCTGGTCCAATCTCCCTGCTCCACCAGGGCCACCTAGAGCCAGTTGCCCAGGACCATGTCCAGACGGCTTTTGAGTATCTGCAAGGATGGAGACTCCACAACCTGTCTGGACAACCTGTGCCACAGCCTCGTCACCCTCACAGTGAAAAAGTGTTTCCTGATGTTCAGACAGAACCTTCTGCGTTTCAGTTGCTGCCCATTGCCTCTGGTCCTGTTCCTCGTCATGACCAAGATGAGCCTGGCTCCGTCCTCTTTGCGCCCTCCTTTCAGGTATTTATATACATTAAAAACATCCCCCCTGAGCCTTCTCTTCTCCAGGCTGAACAGTCCCAGCTGCCTCAGCCTTTTCTCATATGTGAAATGTCCCTTAATCATCCTTGTGGCTCACTGCTGGACTCTCTCTAGGATGTCCATGTCTCTCTTGTACTGAGAAGCCTGCAACTGGACACAGTAATCCAGGTAAAGCCTCATCAGAGCTGAGTAGAAGGGAAAGATCACCTCCCTCAACCCGCTGGAAAGTCCAGCTTATAGAATAGTGATCTTTCAAATGCTGCAATGTTATGCTTCCAGGCACAGGGGAAATAAAAACAAAACCAGACAAAACAAAACAAAAACCCCCAGAACTTCTATGCTTCTCTGTAGTTAATCCTTCTTAGAATTTCAAATACAGCAGCACAACCAGCTAGAATGGTGGCTCTTTTGATACATGTGTAAAGTTAGACGATCCTGATCCACCTACCAACAAAAAAGCAAATCACTTGAGTGTAGAGAATTTACAAATGGATACTAGAAGTAAAACTTGCATAAAAAGTCTGTGAACAGGCTCGCTTTTGAAGAGGTAATATTTCAAATTCTAGGGCGCTTATTCAAAAGCAAAACATGGTTCACAGCTGAAAGATCTCCTCTAAAATACAACATTCAATCTACCAGACTTATGACAAGTTACTAAAAGGTCAGAAGATCTATCACCAATATCAAATTGGTGGTTTTCTCAGCTGCTAAAGGGTGGTCTAAGGAAGAATTAAACTGCTTTTTTTTTTAAATCTATTTATGTATAACAACCTAGGTCTTTTCATACTGAAAGTGATTTTAATAAAATAATCTCTTGCTTGGGACTTTTAGAAGTTTTGCTATGTGATGCAGCGCTAACAAATGTTGAAATGTATTTCCTTGTATCAGTTCCCCTACTACTGCATCCTGCCATCACATTCTAAGGAAAGAAATTTTCCTGGCTTTAAATCCAGTAATACTTTTAGCCCCATAAGAAGCAGCATCAGTAATTAATAACCTTTCACAATACACAAATGGTACGAATAAACCATGCCACGTAGCTAGACTGCCCATCTCTTCTTCAAACTCAGTTATGTTTAAATGGCTTTCAAAGTTCAAACACAGAAATATCCTTCTGCTGTTTTCAAAACAGCCGTTGTCAGCTATTGCCTGGAAAAAGATTACTACTTTTGCAACATTCTGTTTGAGCTATTTTCAAGCAGGAAAAGAAAAGGAATTCCAGTCAGGCATCATATTGGTCTTTCCCACCTTTCACATCAGAATACAGAGTCTTACTTAGGAATGAATGAGAAACACATTGGATGAAAAAATATCATGCTACTTAAAGTAATGGAAAAAAAAAATCCCCATTGAGATGACTGACTTTGAAAGCCACCGACACGTGAATGGCTCAACACTAATTGGGAAAAAAAAGGCACAGCTTATCTGTATTACTCCACAGTCAAATGGTATTTTATACAGCAACTGAAGAAGCACAAACAAGAAACAGTCACACAAGTGTTGATTAATGTTGATTTGGGGATGAAAATAATAAAACTAAAGCATCAGTATCTCATACAAATAGTAGTTTCCACCTTTTATTAATAGCAGTTGCCTTCAGAACGGTCATCTATGGCAATGGAAAACTCTTCACTTGCAAACATATTCAGAAGCTGAACTTCTGTCTAGTTTGGCTAGATTACAGATTTTTTTACCTGTATATGTGCATTAGAGGAAAACCATGTGAACCCAAAAACTGCCAAACTAAGACCGAATAAAATTTTGGCAAGACAACTACTTGTTTACAAGACCAACCAGTAGAAGATATATGCTACATTTAAGAGAAAGGACTACTACAGAGCAAAGCAAAGGCAGTGATTTACACTCATATTTGTGTTCTACACTTACAGACTAACCCAACTTTCTCCCTCTACTCGCTGGTATTCAAACTCAGTTTGGGTTGTATTCATTAATATCTTCCCAGTCCACCATGTTCTTGGCAAAGGAAGAAGAAAATCAATAACAGTTGCCAGAGCAGAAGAGCAGAGTCTTTGCAAAACAGATATTATTGTTAAAATATATATATATATTACTGTTAAAAAAAAAATCTCTGGCAGTCTAATATAACAAAATAATAGGACACTGAAGATGATCTTCTTGCAGATGTCAGAAGGAAGACATAATATGCTCTTTTTTTCCACTTACTCTTCTATATTCCTCTATGGTAAAAGGACCCAAAACTGAAGATTCAGTTCTCACAACTTTGCCCTTTCCTCTAATTTGCCAAAAATTAAAAATAAAAATATTTCTAAGTACTCTAATGATGAGCAAGGCTCTTCCAACAGATTTGGAAGAAGATATGAGTATTGGAAAGGGTACCTACAATTTTCAGGCTGTGAAATGCAAAAGCCACATCCCGTTCCAAAGAACAACAATTAAGACAGAATGCAGCTAGAAGTCTGCTAAAGATTAAGTGGGAGGAACAGCATTTTAAAAAAGTTCAAACGTAGTTGGATACAAAGATTCATTCTGCACACTAAAAGCTACCTTAGAGTCTTCCTATAAACACAGAAGAACTGCCTAAATACATCTTGTATTTCCAGAAGTGATTACAAGAAAGTAGTCTACAGTAGTCACTGGAGCCAAAATCCATTTGGTTTTCTGGGTAATGGTCTCTGCTAGCCTGACTGTACAGCCTGGGAAGTGTCAGCAAGCCTAAGTGAAATAAACTACGGAGTTACGGAAGTTCCACCCCCTTGACTTAGAGCTTACCATTATTTTTCCTACATCAGTTTTTTAACACCTATAGCACTTATTCAGAGCAACCTGGAAGACTTTGAATAACTATCATTCAAAAAAATTAAAAGACAGATATGTGAACTTCTTAAAGAACTCTATCAGCCACACACATACACAAAGGAACAAGGTATTGACAACTGTCAGAGTTGCCTTTATCAGGGTTGCTGACATTCACTTCTGTATTTTCCTTATAGTTTCATTAAAAGGTCCTGTTTTCAGCTAGGATAGAGTTAAAATTCACAGGAAGCTGGGCGAGGACACAAAATAGGCAAACGGGATACTCGATACTATATGACATCATGCTCATGGTCTAGCTGGGGAAGCTGGTTGGGCAGGGGGAATCCCTGCTCGGGAGCGGGCTGCGCATCAGAAAGTGAGAAAATTGCACTGTGTATCCCTTGCTTTATACATTCTTTTTATCAGTATTGTCACTATTTTCCTCTTCCTTTGCTGTTCTGTTAAAATGCCTTTATCCCAACCCACGAGTTTTGCCTTTTTCTTCCGAGTCTCCTCCCCATCCCATCGGGCAGGAGGAGCGAGTGAGTCGCTGCATGGTTCTTGGTTGCTGGCTGGGGCTAAACCACAACAAAAAGCAATCTTGATAACATTGATGGAATGATAGGTCAAGCAAGTTTTATTCAGCTATGTGTTAACACAAGGCAACAAGTTAGTTGCTCCACTGTTTATTCATATTGTTGCTTAGAAGACTATGTCATTTGAGTACTGAATCACAGCTTAAGCAGGTCATTTTTAAGTCTGATTTCTTTTTAAACGTACTTTTAAAAGAAGTTATTTTCAAAATAAGTGTAAGTTTGATCTGAACTTATGACACTTCATAACTAAACTTTGAATGGCTGCAGGGCACAATATCTGAACTGAAAACAACACTTGGGCAAAGTTTTTTGTTAATTTCAAAAATGAGGAAAAAGAATCAGGAAGCCATCAGTAAGTCACCTCCAAAAAAAGACAAAAGTCTATTATTAAGTCAATTGTTTCTCTTATAACTAAAGTATCCCTACTTCAGTTTGCATCATTCAATTACTATCTGATTAAGAGACAATATATATTGAGAGCTGAAAGACATAGAAATGTTATTGTCCTCCCTCCTTCAGGATTTAACCTCTGCACTCAAAAGGCACAGAGATCAGAAAGCAAGATTAAATAATGCCCTAGAACAGTTTTGACTACTACCACTACCAGCACACAAATAAAACCAGCTACTGTTTAAAGACTACAGCCAATCTCAAAGGGGAAATGAACCCTTCCAAACATATCCACAGAACTGAACAGATATTCCCTGATGGACTGTGCTCAGGGCAAAGACTGTTAGCCTTCCTCTCTCTCACTAGTTATTGACTCACAGATAAGCACAGGCATCACCCAGTTTCCTTAA